AATTTAACTTGCACACATTTCCGGTGACACCGATATGATGATAAAAATCGCAATTTATTTTATCTTCGATTCCTCGAATAAATACGAAGTTTTGAAGAAAATATTAATTTTTGCCGTTATTTTGCAACTTTCTTCGGGTTACTGTTTTTACAATTCCAAAATCTAAAGTAATTGTGTACGCACATTTTTGTATATATATTTGCGTGTAAATATACATATATATGTGAGTGCATAAATGTGTATGTGTGGGTAGATATGAACGTAAAAATTCAGATATGTACATGAATTGTAACATTAATTAAAATAATTATGAATATAACCTCCTAATATCATCAAACCAAATTAAATACAACATAATAGCCCAGTGTTTGTGTGTGTGTGTATATATATATATATATATATATATAAACATTAATATTTATAGTATCATAACACACACACACATATATATATATATATATATATATATATATATATATATATATATAAATAAACGGAGAGAGATATTAATCATTTAACCATTAACATCCATTCTTTATGTAAGAAATGAAATATAAATTCTCTAGTAAAGAAAAAGGAAGGAAATAGTCCCCCGCCAAAAAAAAATCTGCGATATATCTAGAGTTGGAAAATAACGACAGAAAGTACAACAATCGAAAAAAAAAATTAAAAAAAAAAATTAAAAAAAAAACAGTGAGAAGTCTAAAAAGTAAATATGAAGTGAATAAGAAACAACAACAACAAAAAAAAACGAAAAAAAATGGACAGGACAAATGATTAAATTTAGAATTCCACGTCACATGATGAAGAAAACCGATGTATATAGTTAAAATACCTCATCTCAGAAATAGAGAAATAGAAAAACTAAATATCTCTTTTTTAAAAATCACAAAATTTCCCTATCAAATTCTACGAAACAGAAAAATAAATGTTGCAGCCCAAATATGCATTACATATATTTTTATTTCCACATATGTACGTATATTGTTTGCGTGGAGTAGACGTGAACAAGACTTTACAATCTCGGCTAATATCTTAATACTTTCAATGCACTATTACAGACTGTTCTTATATTTTGACTTTCAAAACCGACATATATTAAACAGTTCCAATAATTACGGTTCCTGTGAGGAATTACCATATTTAAATCTGTTCAGAAATAAATCGATATTTTTGAAGGATTGCATCCATTTTGATCATATCGCTTGAAGAAAACAATTTTTTTAGATTAAATATTGGTTTGGCTTTCCGCCTCAGGTCTATTCGTGTAGATCGGTAATAAAAATTACTCAAATATTTACCGTAGAATACGTTCTGTGTAAAGAAAACCTAATGAAAAGCAATATTTGTTCGGTTTGTGAAAGATGATAAAGGGAAGTCGTTTGGACAACTGAACAAATTTCGGAAGCCTATAAAAAATGTTGCTGTAGTTGTGCAGTCAGAATTGGCGGAAAATCATTTAGTGGTTCAATGAGGTGTCGTCTTATTTATTTCTAAGAAGAATAATAAATAGCATAACATTTCAAAATATACCAAATAAAGCGCAATTCTCACTTGCTATAAATTGAAACTTGTACAAATAGATGAATTATGACAAGCGCAGTTTGAAATCTGAAGTAATTCTCAAGTCTTTTAAGCATTTCACCAAAAGCAAGACCACATAGCCACGAAAACGCAAGACGTACTGGATGTGAAAGAATATGAGAACGTAAGATTATTAATGAGGATGAACAATAAAAGAACGGGGATTAGGTAGACAAGATAATAACTAACATTACACTTAAATTGAAAAACAAAATAAGTTCACCTGAAAGCAAGAGAGCGGAAGAGATTTCAACAAGCGATAACTGAGGCAGAATTAAATGTTAGCCTAGAACTTACGGTGGCATCTCGCAATTACAACTGTAAACAGATGAGAGCTAGCTCTTACTATAGTACTACGTTTAAAATTTGTAAAGTCGTAGTAGTAAAGAGGAAAACTCATCAGAAAAACTACACTGGAAATATTTATAGAAAATGCTCAGTGAAACCGTTTCGTTTGGTTGGAAAGTGACTGAAGTCAAGATGGCTGCTGAGAACAAAATGGCGTTCTTCATTAGATGTTACGTATAAAATTAGAGACGTACCACAGCAGTTGTGACAGTGATTTACAATACCTGAAGGAATGATAGATTTATAAGGCGGATTCTGCCAAGAAAACTTCCATAGCACGACATTGTAAACTAACATTTCTGCGGGCAGACCTAGCAATTATGTTAGGCGAAATCGTTATCTCTTCAAATACATCTACTACAATAAATCTGATATTTCATATTCAGATTATATTTAGCGATCATCGATGATAACAGGTAATATATTAATAAATGATGGTTCCAAATACATATAAAATAAGATGTATGGTATAAGAGTTAAGAGCTTTAAATAGCAGCAACAATTAAAATGGTTATCACACGTAACTCGAAGAAGGTGACATTCAGTACCACTTCAAGTAAAACCTTCAGAAGGAAAATCAGTAGAAGAAAGAGTAGTCACACCTACTGGATTGAGCTACTGGAGAAAAATAACAGCAAGATATAAATTCCAAGCGACAGCAGTAATGTTTGGTCAGTCAATAAACGCCAAATATTTCCTTATGAGAAAACTGCTAATATTGCCATTTTCAGAGTATTTTTTTTTTTTTTTTGTATTTTGACGTCTTCATTCGCAGTCACAAGGACATGTAAACAAATGATCACACAATATGTGAAACGTGCAACTGTCAATTTTTCTTGAACAGTCACATTTGTAATGTTTCTAAGATGACCTGAAGATCACGGTAGCGTGCAACAAGATTAGCGGTATAAAATGTCGGGTAACGTAAGTACTCAGTCTTGGTGATTCAGATATTTTTCACAGTATTATTACGTGAATGTATTTACTCTCTTAGAGCATTGTCAAAAAAAATATTTATTTAAGCTGATATTCTTGGACGCATTAGTCTAAATTTCATTATATATTTTCCTAATGATTATGAAGAAAAACTACATTTTTCAACGGAAGATATTTATCATGAATATTTGGTTTTTCAGTAAATCGTAGTTTAATTTTGCGAACAGGCTATTTTACCGGTCCCAGTAAAAAAAGACACTACGACTGTTTTGCGGAATATATAAATAGTATTTTAGACCTAAAAATATATTATATTTGAGATCATCACTTCTGTAGTTATGTGAGGTGTGTAGCCAGGTCTTGCAAAACATTGATTGTGTGGTAATGACAAGAGAAATACACCCAAGAACAAGTTTGCAGAGATTGAATACCTAAAACGCTTGATATAATAACTGGTGATGTATAAATGATTTTAAGTTGAGTAATAACAATTGCTGGTGGAAAAGAATTTAAATTTTCTGAGGAACTGATGGTGAAAATAAACTTTGTTTAAATCTGTGTGTTGTTATCTTTAATATTACCTGCCTTAATAATAATAAAAATATTAATGTCTTCGTCTTATTCGGTTTCTGCAGAACAGCTCGTCGAAAGTCCCTCTCTCGACAGAGAAAGAACTGGTGTTATATAGCTCTCCCAGTCCTAGAACCACGCTGACTATTTGCTGTACCGGCCCGTAATACAGTCCATATGCAAATAGTCTACGTCACCTATTCTGTGTAGGTCTTCTCCAAACAGTTCATTGTGGAAGGGGAAGCAAATACTGGTACTTACAGCCCCACATATAAAAACTGGGAGTCTTTTATCGAAGTGACCCGATTCTCCGTTACAATGTATCCGCAAAATAACCTGGAAGGTCAATTTTACCGAGGCTGGTAAAATAAGCTCAAAAGCATGTTTGTCTCGTTTATCGGGAACGGTAAAATAGCTTCATCCTTAATTACATTGTCATTATTCAAATGTGTCGAGTTTGTTTGATTTTTTTTTTTTTTTTTTTTTTTTTTAAGTTAAAATATCTGAAAAAAAGATTACAATAAAAAAATATTCTCAATAATACAAAAATATCATTCATATTTTCTAAGATTCATTTTTGTAATGCTATTACGTTATCTAGAAACGAAAACCTTTCTTGCTTTGGTTCTTGCACTGATTTCCAAGAGAAACGTATATCGATTAGCAAAAAACAACACTGAGAACAAAATCATATTGCGTAAATAATCTTATACTGCACAAGGTATAAAGAGTCAAACAGCATATAGAGATAAAACATGCCCCCTTTAATCATTGTCAACGAAGAGAAATAATTTGTCAGATGGTGCACCAATGCTGAAAGCTAAACAGTGTCGAATGTAGAGTGACGCGAAGATGTCAACCTAAGCTACAGGTGACTATATTCCTGTCGTCTCTGTGGAAATTCTGATTCTCATGTCTGTTCCAGGGTGTTAAACGTCTTCTGAGTTTAATTCCTTAAGTCCTATGTAAAATCATTGTAGCGAATAGAATACTGCGGATCTTTTAACTTGGAAAGAATAAATTTCCTAAGATTTTGTCAATCATCTGTGTATTAACTTACAAAATGATACTAGTTTAAATTTTTGGACAAATTTCCGTAACTAAATATTGAGGTCAATTTGTGAAGATAATTATGCTAAATTTTAATATAGTTATGGATTTTAGTCTCATACTGTCAACTTCGATTTGAAGCAAATATCCGTTACCATAACCGATCTCCTCAAAATTGAAATTGCACATGCATTAGAATAAAGTGTATCCAACAAGCATGCAAGGAGACAAATCACTTAGAGAGGCACGAATCATTAAACGAAAACCTGTTAAATTACAGTATCATTGCAGATTGGTTAATGAAAAGTGTCTTGATTTCAAGCCAAAGCTCATGGAAACGTATCAGGACAGTGACTTGTTGCCAGTTAATTCAAATTTCTCGATTTTGATTAAATTCTTTTGTGTCTCGAAATAGGTGTTATTCCAGGTAAAGTATTTTATTTTTTTTATCTCTATGCTTTTGTTAACTGGGACTAGTGTGTGTAATTCACATTCATGTTTTTTCTCTTTCGATGTTAATTTCTGTCTCTCTCCCTTTCGGTTTCTTCCTTTCTCTCTATCCCATTCTCTCTCTCGGTTTCTTCCTCTCTCTCTCTCTCTCTCTCTCTCTCTCTCTTTCGGTTTCTTCCTTTCTCTCTCTCTCTCTCTCTCTTTCGGTTTCTTCCTTTCTCTCTCTCTCTCTCCCTTTCGGTTTCTTCCTTTCTCTCTCTCTCTTTCGGTTTCTTCCTTTCTCTCTCTCTCTCTCCCTTTCGGTTTCTTCCTTTCTCTCTCTCTCTCTCTCTCTCTCTCTTTCTGTTTCTTCCTTTCTCTCTCTCTCTCTCTCTCTCTCTCTCTCTCCCTTTCGGTTTCTTCCTTTTCTCTCTCTCTCTCTCTCTCTCCCTTTCGGTTTCTTCCTTTCTCTCTCTCTCTCTCTCTCTCTCCCCCTTTCGGTTTCTTCCTTTCTCTCTCTCTCTCTCCCTTTCGGTTTCTTCCTTTCTCTCTCTCTCTCTCTCCCTTTCGTTTCTTCCTTTTCTCTCTCTCTCTCTCTCTCTCCCTTTCGGTTTCTTCCTTTTCTCTCTCTCTCTCTCTCTCTCCCTTTCGGTTTCTTCCTTTCTCTCTCTCTCTCTCTCTCTCTCCCTTTCGGTTTCTTCCTTTCTCTCTCTCTCTCTCTCTCTCCCCTTTCGGTTTCTTCCTTTCTTCTCTCTCTCTCTCTCTCTCTCTCCTTTCGGTTTCTTCCTTTTCTCTCTCTCTCTCTCTCTCTCCCTTTCAGTTTCTTCCTTTCTCTCTCTCTCTCTCTCTCTCCCCTTTCGGTTTCTTCCTTTCTCTCTCTCTCTCTCTCTCCCTTTCGGTTTCTTCCTTTTCTCTCTCTCTCTCTCTCTCCCCTTTCGGTTTCTTCCTTTCTCTCTCTCTCTCTCTCCCTTTCGGTTTCTTCCTTTCTCTCTCTCTCTCTCTCCCCCTTTTCGGTTTCTTCCTTTCTCTCTCTCTCTCTCTCCCCTTTCGGTTTCTTCCTTTCTCTCTCTCTCTCTCTCCCCTTTCGGTTTCTTCCTTTCTCTCTCTCTCTCTCCCCCCTTTCGGTTTCTTCCTCTCTCTCTCTCTTCCTTTCTCTCTCTCTCTCTCTCCCCCTTTCGGTTTCTTCCTTTCTCTCTCTCTCTCCCCCCTTTCGGTTTCTTCCTCTCTCTCTCTCTTCCTTTCTCTCTCTCTGTTTCTTCCTTTCTCTCTCTTTCGCTGTTTGTTTCTGCCTTTTTCTATGTTTTCTCGTACATTTCTTTCTCTTTATCTATCTGTCTTTGTTCTTTTCATTATTCCCCCCTCTCTACTCAAATATAATTACTCTTTCTTTTTCTTCACATATATTTTACATATTTCTATTGTCATTTTTTCTCGTTCGGTGATTTACATTTTTCTCTACACAAATATTTTCGTAAATTACATGCTTTTAGTTTGTTTTAATTATTTATTTTTTTATTTCGTTTGTTTTCATTTCTGTCTCTGTTCAAAAGGCACAAATAGGAAGTGATTTAGCCAACGGCCAAAGGTATTCTTCAGAAGACACATATTTAATAATATTAATAATATCTTCCCACTTTACGTAATCGGCAGAGATGATATGCCGTTAAAACGGAAGAATGAATCATTTCTCTGCAGGTTTTCGAAGTGTAGCTTAGATGCAGAAAAAAGATCGAGAATATGGGATACCCACTGAGGATGGAACTTTACAGTGGGAATTAAGATTATTAGGGCTAAATGATAATTCTACTCATAAAATTTCCCCAAAGGAATACGGTTGTTCATAAATATCTACAGCTTTAATTTGGCAAGCACTCTCAATTTCTAGAATTTAACCTACTAAAAATTTAATAAAAATGTAGACTCCAGTTCACAAATTAAGGCGAATATTTCTCTAATCTTATCTGGCTTGAAGATCGCTTAAGGTGCGAAAATGACATAAACAATAGAGCGTTGCTTCCTCACACTCATATATATATATATATATATATATATATATAATATTAGTTATAAATATACAGATATATATGCAATCATATATCTAAAATATGTATGTATGCGTAAGTAGATGCGTTTATATATATATATATATATATATATATGTGTGTGTGTGTTTTGGTATATATGTATTCATATCTATCTGTACATGGGTGTATATGTATGTATGTATACGGATATATTAATGGATACATTGTTTATTTTTCAGATTAGTGTATGTAATTGTATGGAGATGTAAGGTTTTATGCATATAGGTTTGTGTATGTCCATATATATATATATATATATATATATATATATATGTATATGTATAGTGAATGTGTATGGATATATGTATGTTTATATATGTATGTGTAAATATGTTGTCGTGTCTACGCATGTGTTTTTGAACATAGAAATATAGGTCCTTGCTAGATTAGATAATCGTTATATTTATTTTTATATGTTTATATTTGATTTGTAACCTGTTGTCGTTATTAATTTTGTCAAATTTTCTTGATTACACAGCGGCCCTTTTATAAATGCACTTTGGTTTTAGTTCCCCACGCCAGATCTCACTCCCCCACCCCTTTTTTCTTTTCTTTTTTTTTCTTTTCTTTTCTTTTTTTTTCTTTTCTTTTCTTTTCTTTTCTTTTCCTCTCCCTCTCTCATCTTCTGATCATATCGTCTATTGTGTGTGTATGCCACCACAATATGTATCCTTTCCGGTTACATCTTTAATGTATTATACATCCGGGAACATCCATATTTCTCTCACTTAAACCGTCTTTGACTCCCCTCTTTAAAACTTCTCTCTGTTAAATTTTAATCCCCCGCTTCATCTTTAGACCTTCAAGTTCTTGTCTCGTTATTCTCTCGTATCTTACCACTCTCGATAGCTTTCTTCAACTCTAACATTCGTCCCACACTCTCATACATACACTCATTAAATTTTATTTTTTATTCCTGGAGTTATTTTTTTTAATCCTAGAGTTATTTTTTCTGTTTTCTTTTTGAATTTGTAGGTCTGATGAATTGGATCGTATTTACGATTCCAATGGAATAAATTATGACCATGGAATATTAGTGTTTAAACTTTTCTAATATATATATATATATATATATATATATAATACTATCCATTAAAAAATATGCTGATGACAGCTAAATCATTGAAATGCAGAAGTTGAACGTGAGTCGTTAATTTCTATCTCCAGATTATTTATATTTCCAAAGTTAAATGCCTAACATTGTCTATATTCATGGACTGTGTTCTCAGTGTTGAACACACACACACACACACATAGTATTTAAGCAGAATTTTTCATTGATGCATGTTTAATTAAGTAATACAGACGAATTTTGTCTATTTTATATAAATTATTTTCATATATTCTGATAAGCTTAACATTATCAATAAAAGATGAAAGAAAATCGCAATATTGATACATATTTTTATCAAAGATGACAATTACATTACAATATACTAAACAATACACGGACAAAACAATAATGATTGTCTGTTTTTGTTTGCTGGGAAGATTTCGACGCTGGAAGCGAAAATCGCACCGCATCTCGTGACATCACACATGACCACGTGAGAGTGAAATGTAGACCTGCTTAACAGATGTAATATTGGAGAAATCGAGATATTCCTCATACATTTTCAGTTGCGGTGGATTGGTCATGTCTTGATAATATCTGATGACAGTATACCCAATATCCTAATGTAAAACCAGTAAGATCAGGACTACATAAATGCAGGACGGCCATGACTTAGATACAAAGACAAACTGAAGAGCAACTTGTCAGCTGTCAACATACCTCATAACACCGTGCAGCGCTTAGACTTGGAACGGGTAGAATGGAGATAAACGAGTTTTAATGCACGCAGCGGTTTTCAATCTGCTAGTTTGAATCATCTTAAAGAAGCAAGAGGATGATTTAGAAGGTCAGCTAATCTAAAGGTGACCTCATCTCACATTCCTCAAGATTGCTCCATATGCGGCCTCCTTTTCAAATCTCTTTCGGGTCTTAGTTGCCACTTAAGATTAACTCACATATGCGTGGCCATTGAAGTCAACACTCACAGGAGACGGTTTCATTTTAAACGCAAACGTGAGACCTGGCGATTGCGTTTAGCATAGTATACACTGTGGCCACTGGGTGTGGAATTAAATGTCCACTTCTATATTTAAATAGGCTCTGTCCCAAATATTGAACACTTCAAACCATAGCTATAGCATACCTTAATATTATAATATACACACACACACATCGTTGATGTTTTTGCTAGTAAGAAGTTAAAATTTATTGTTACTGTGGGTTTGAGGCAGCTTGCATTTTTTTAAAAAAATGATCGCGCCAAATGCACTGATCAAGTTTCGCTCTGCTTAACTGTAGCGTAATATAAACTAAAGATGGACTCAGTGCTTTGAGCTAGTGTTTTTAATTGGGAATTGCTAGCCGCCTTCTCAAATGGTTATGTTCGGTAAAGTGTATCAGCCGAACTTATATATATATAGCTAGTTATTTAAATTTTCCTAAATATATCTGTTCGTTGGTGTTTGTTTGCATTAATTATTCTCAAACTGATTTTTGTTAACTTGCCTGTAGTAAGGTGTGACAAGTGATTTAGGTAAGTGTTAATTAGATGTTAAGTGATTGTCTTTTTTTGCGATAGCCAATCAATTTCCGGGGTATCTATTACAGCTTGTATTGGATTTTTGTTGATGTTTTGTTTTTTTTATTAGTTTTTTTTTGTTTTTTTTTTGTTTTTGTTTCTTTTTAACCATATACCATTTTGAATTCACATAATTAACATTCTTCGGAAAAGTGTAAAGAAAAAAAGTTAGATTTTACTCATGACAATATAGTTTGAGTATAGATTTTGACATGTTCCATGATCTTCAATAAGGAGGTGATCATGGCTTTCCCAAATGTAATTTGTAAGTTTTGTTTCATTACTATTCCTCTCAGTCCCTATTTTCCCAACAATTTACACAATTTTTTTTACAGATGTTTACTGCTTTGATACGTAAATTCTGCGTTTAATATGTCCACATTTTCCTTGTTTTTTTTTATTTAAAAAAAAATGGAAATATCTCATTTATTTTAAATATAACTAACTTTTCTTAACATTTTTTTCTTCAACGTTTCTGCTTACGCATGTTATGTCCATCCTTTTCTCAGCATCCTTATCTGTTGCTTCAGCTCTCTTCTTCATCTGTGAGGATAATGTCCAGTATTCACTGGTATATAAGAGAATCGATATTTAATAAAAGTTCACAAAACTTACGTTCCTAAGGAAAATGCTGTTTCTTAAAGCCTTTCATAGATATTTGAAGACATCTTTGAACATCACATTATAATAACGTTTCAGCCTGGGATTTAGAAATCTGGATAGAAACTGCAAATTTACTTTTTTATAGATAAGGGTTTAAATTTACTTTGCCCTAAGTACTAATATCAGAAATTGATACAATATATCCGTTCACGTGATATCACATTTCCAACTATACTAAAATTTTTACAAAATTGTGCTAATAAGAAGAATACGTATGGATGCAAGATGATGTGTGTGAATCGTATTGTTGTCAGTAAGAAAATCGTCAGATGAACTGGTAAACTAAAGGAATAGTTTTAAGAAACTAGCAACTATGGGTCGCTTTAATTTGAAAATGGTTTTCAAAAATTTGCAGTCTAAGTCAATATCAGTGAACGGTTCAATGAAATAGTTACAATAGGAAATTTTAAAAATATATAAATTTTTGTTTACCATACAATTTATGGTAACACTAACAAAGTAGCAATTACAGTGATACGACTACACATGCCCACGAAAGCAAAGGGATGCTGAGAATTTTAGATTGAAACGCATAGCAGGAAAACTTTCCTATTTCTCATAGCTATTCCCCTGAAATAATAAATGTAAAATGTGCATATAGCAATTTGATATATGAAAATAAAAATGTCACATCTGCAAGGAATAGAGTACACACAATTATTGGTTATTTTCTACAATAAACTGTGCTTATATTTAATTTCATCACATGAATCTGTGTTTGAAGCGATTGTGAGTGAACGTTCATAAATGTATTGAAATAGCTGCTGCGTTAAAATAAAATTCACTCGCAGAAAAGGGAAGGAATGTAAAGATTATCGATTTGAGGATAATTTTTATTGTTGAAAACAGATGCTTTTAAAAATAAAAACTTAAAGCAAATTCTAAAATGACTTCATCTCACATTTTATCGTAAACGTTGTTTTAACTCGTGCTATTTATACCTATTCTGTTACATGTATGTTCAGGGTTATATTTGTTTACATTTATCTCGTTCCAAATCTGTTACGTGTAGGCATCGAGGAAATAAATCAATAATATTCACGAGTGTAAAATTAAAA